CCATCTCGGGTTCTCCAGTACCAAACACCTATTCAGACCCTTTCTCAGTATCATTCTATTCCTTCAGTTCTTCATATTCAACCTAAAGTGTTTGGATGTGTTAGCTATGTTCATGTTCACCAACACAGTCGTGACAAACTAGATCCTCGTGCCCTCAAATGTGTGTTTGTCGGTTATTCTGTCGCACAAAAAGGATACAAGTGTTACCATCCCCCATCAGGAATTTTTTTTATTTCTATGGATGTTACATTCTGTGAAGAAGAGGCCTATTTTTCGGTCACTCCTCTTCAAGGGGAGAATGATGGAGAGGAAGAGCAGTTCCCTGATATTGGATATGTACCATCACCTAATACTGCTGATACACATGATACACATGAAAAAGAGTTGCAAGTGTACCAAAGAAGGAAGAGAAATGAGGTAGTAACAGATCCTCCACTTCCTGACCATGTTCCAAATCAACATGCTGCTTTGCATGAAGATCATTCTGAGGTAATTCCACAATCCCCGCCACCTTCCATACATACTGATAATGTTGATAACCATGATATTTCAGCTAGGGATAATCTAGATGACTCAAATGAGTCTATAGATGTCTCTAATTCTCCTCGTTTTCCAATTCGTAAAAATCGTGGGATACCTCCAGAAAGGTTTGGCTACTCTACAGTAAAAACTGTTCAATATCCAATATCTGATTATGTGTCTAACCATCGTTTATCCAGTTCTTATATTGCTTTTACAAACCACATATCTTCTGTGTCTACACCTAGTAACTTACATGATGCTCTTGGTGACCCAAAGTGGAAGATTGCTATGGTTGAGGAGATGAAGGCATTACAGAAAAATTGTACCTGGGAACTTGTTGACTTGCCTAAAGGTAAGAGACCCGTTGGTTGTAAATGGGTGTTTACTGTAAAACACAAAGCAGATGGATCAGTAGAGAGATACAAGGCAAGATTGGTAGCAAAAGGCTACACTCAAACTTATGGTGTTGATTACTCAGAGACTTTTGCGCCAGTAGCTAAAATCAACACTATTCGAGTCCTTTTATCTCTGGCTGCCAACCTAGACTGGCCGCTACATCAATTTGATGTGAAAAATGCTTTCCTACATGGTGATTTAAAAGATGAGGTGTATATGGATCTTCCACCTGGGTTTGTTATGGAGACTGATGTTGGCAAGGTGTGCAAGCTGAGGAAATCTTTATATGGGCTGAAACAGTCACCCAGGGCTTGGTTTGGGAGATTCAGTTTGTCTATGAAAAGATTTGGGTACAAACAGAGCAATTCTGATCATACACTGTTTCTGAAACACAGGAAAGGACAAGTGACAGCCTTGATTATTTATGTGGATGATATGGTTGTTACAGGTAATGATGAAGAAGGAATCACAGAACTTCAGAAATACTTGGCTCAAGAATTTGAGATGAAAAATCTTGGGGTACTAAAATACTTTCTTGGAATTGAGGTGGCAAGATCTAAGCATGGCATCTCTTTGTCTCAAAGAAAGTATATCCTAGATTTGTTAAGTGAGACTGGTATGCTTGCTTGCAAACCAGCAGCCACTCCAATGGAGCAAAATCATAAGTTGGGAGAAAGCCTTGATCAGATTCCAACAAATAAGGAAAGGTATCAGAAGTTGGTTGGAAAACTAATCTACTTGTCACATACACGACCTGATATAGCCTATGCTGTTAGTGTGGTTAGTCAATTCATGCATGCCCCTAGTGAGAGTCATATGGAAGCTGTTCTTCGAATACTTAGATACTTGAAGTCAGCACCAGGAAAAGGATTGATGTTTACTAAACATGGTCATCTAGATGTTCAAGCCTATACAGATGCTGATTATGCCGGGTCCATTGTTGATAGAAGATCCACATCTGGATACTTCACCTTTGTTGGGGGGAATTTGGTTACATGGCGTAGCAAGAAACAAAAGGTGGTATCTAGGTCAAGCGCTGAAGCCGAATACAGAGGCATGTCTCATGGTGTGTGTGAACTCATGTGGTTGCGAAAATTGTTGAGAGACTTGGGTTGCAAATCCAAGAAGGCTATGAATTTATATTGTGACAACAAAGCTGCCATTAGCATTGCCCACAATCCAGTTCAACACGATCGTACTAAACACGTTGAAGTGGATAGACACTTTATTAAGGAGAAGCTGGATGCTGGAATTGTTGACTTTCCATTTGTTAAAACTGAAGATCAATTGGCCGACATCTTGACAAAA